GAAGTGCACTGACATGACAAATAATTGTAGGCCACATTTGAATCCCAATTCTCTTGTCAGCAGTTTTAGTTTCCTTTCTTATAAACATCAACTTTTTCTTTCTGATAATGTCATCGTTTGTAAGGTTTCAGTTGACGTTTACTGTTAACTTTAGTTTTTTTCCCTTAATAAATAGTAGTTTTGGTTCTATGACATTGTTTGAGGTGACTCTTGTCCCATAGATTATTTCCCTTTTTCTGTTAGTTCTTCTTCCTGTTTTCATTTGGTATACCAGGTGTTTGTCAAGTTCCCTCTTTCACCTGTTTTCCGTTTCTTAAAACCACTCAGTTGTTTATTGACTGTTGATTCCTTCAGTGTATAAAATATTCTGCCCAGTGTCCTTGTCACAGGTTCATTGTCAGTCTAACTGTCCCTTAAGATATTTTAAGAGTTTTTGCTGAGTTCAGTCGTTTCTGCAGCATCCTTGGTTTTGTTCAACGTTAATTAGAGAACTTCAGAAACATTTCTGGATAATGATCTTTTGTACAGTACATTCACTTCTTGTTTCACAGAAGATTTTATTTTAAGAATCTGTTAAACCTTTTTATAGAAATAAACTATTGCAAAAACTAATAGGAAAATAAGTTATTTGTGTCGTGAGCCAGTTGTTTGTGTTCCATCTAATGTGTAGCTGTGCATTTGGAAGTTTTCTCTAGGTATCTTGGTTTATCTACTACAGCTCAAAACCGTAAGCGTTAGGCAAATTGGCAAATCCAAATGGRCTTTAAATGTGAGAGTATGGTTGTTTTGTCTTGTGTGTTTCTGTAACAGCTCCACAATGGACTGGAAAATTACGCGGGGTGTACTTCCCCTCCTGTGTGCTGATAGGCACCTTCTCTGACTCTGTGACCCCAGATAGCATCAGGTGAATACAGACAATATGTGAGTGAGTGAGTGAGTGAGTGAGTGAGTGAGTGAGTGAGTGAGTGAGTGAGTGAGTGAGTGAGTGAGTGAGTGAGTGAGTGAGTGAGTGNAGTGAGTGAGTGAGTGAGTGAGTGAGTGAGTGAGTGAGTGAGTGAGTGAGTGAGTGATAGTTGTGTTTTCTGAGAATAACCTCAGATATTTCATCTCTATAATGTTTTCATCTAAGTCAGAGCAGATAAATTAGCCCTTTGAGAACTTAAAATGGTTCAAACTGATTTTCTTTTTTATGTTGTGGAGCAYAGATTGACTTAAACTCTAAATCTGATGGAATATTTGTTAAATGGACAGGTTGCCTCACAAACACACCTTGCCTGGAGTACTCATCAGCCTCATGGTGCACCAGGTCAGTAACGCAGCCGCCATAGTGAAGCCTCTGCTCGTGATCAAAGGCCTTGAGCGTCTCACTGGAGCTGTACGACTTCTGCGTTGGCACACGACACTCATCTGCATCGAGGGAGGAGGTGTTGTACTGAGAGTCTTTGGAGCAACGACTCCTCGTCAGAGAGCGGTGCCTACGGTCCTTTAGGTCCATGATGGAGCTGGGTGATGATTGGAGATGACTGATGATGGACAGGCTGGAAACGGCAGAGAGGGGTGATGAAGAGACCTCGTCAATGTCAACCACTTCTTGTCACCTGGTWAAAAAAAGAAGGTACAGACAAGGTGGAAAAGACAATTAAAAGTTGGTTTGAAATTACCAGAAAGATTTGCTGTGACTCACTCACTCTCTGTAGAAAATCCACAGAGTTCGGTAAGAGTGAGCACTGCAAAAGGACATTTGAGCAACCAGGCAAATACACAACACATTGGAGTATTGATGCAGGCTAAGTAAGGCTATTGTGGGGAGAAACAGAGCTGCCAGCCTTGTGGTCCACAGAGATAGTCAGCCATCGACCGTACTGATGAAAAATATTCATCCAGCATCCAAATCTATTCCATAAAAACTGAGAGTGACTCGACACAGGATCAAGTCATCCTGAACTGATGGCAGTGATGCATGGAAACAACAAAAGTGGACAGATATCCAAAAAGACTGAGGAAATAATGACAAAACAGACAGATTATTTAGATTAGAGCAAGGTAAAGGGCAGAAAAAGAAGAAAGCAGCCGGATGCAACAGGAAGGAAGGAGGAGGAGGAGAAATGACTTGAGGGCTTTGAAAGTCTCTCCCTCATTATCAGAGTGAGAATGTATCTGGCTCCCTCAGAGGCTGTAAAGGATAATCAAACACACCCAAATGAATACACACAGACACACAAACCGTCCACAACAAACACACAACGCCACCCTTCAGTCTGGCACAAAAATTATCATGTCGCCTGAACTTGACGCAGCTTATAAAACCACTTGTACAAATGTGTTTATTATGACTTTGCCTCTTCATTTGACGCCTGATCCGACCATTCCTACGGCAGCACCAGCACCCTTTTAATCTCTTCGACCTCACACTTGTGGATGCAGATTATACATGATTATGATTCTAATAAAGCACGATGCTAGTCGAGCTGCCTTGAGCAACACATCGTACAAGAGAGCTAAAGTTCAAAGCACAACAATACAAGAACCAGCAGCAATTGACAGGAACACTTCCAGCAGCTGTGCAAATGTGATATTCATGCCAATAAATAGATAATTTATAGTTCTGCTACTTGAGGCATAGGAAGGTCTTGTCCACCCACAACATTAGAGTTTAGCATTGTGGTTTTGTCACAATTGTACTTAATTTGGACAGCACTCACCCAACAACAGAACATGAAAGAACTTTTCTAAAGAACAGTGATATTTGAATACTTTTTATTGCTAATTGCATCTTCCAGTATAGGAGGAATGAAAGTAGAAGAAAAAAAAACATCTTACAGAATATGAGTCAATCTTTTCAGAGAGTGCTCATTTTAAAATGCTTGGAGGGTAGCACTGAAAAGTGCCCTGCTATGTCCATTGATTAACAGTAGGTATTAAGCCTCATAAAGAGCTCATTATTCTTGGGCATCCATCACACAGGCTATTAGGAGTTCAACCTTAATGTGTTTGTACCATGAATGGAGGATAAGGAAAGAGTTCAGGATCCTGACTCAGGAGATGTGGGGACATTTTGACTGGAGGTTTGCAGACAATGGGACTGGGATTGTGTAGAACAGCAAAAGCAGCTGCTGCTGATGAGTTATTACTGTGTGAGGATTAGCGGAAATAATAAATACCCAATATTAGACGAGCTGTTAATATTCACTTTCTTCTCCCCAAAAGTTTTATGAGACATTCAGAACTACACAAAGATTTTCCTTCTGCATTAAACCCAGTGCTGGAGCAAAACAGGCTTTTCTTGAATGTCTTCGACATAGAGGATGTTGTTCTAACTAAAGTGAAAACAAAAGCTACACTTCCAACATTTTCTTTCACCAATAAATGCTTGATTTATAGAAACGTGTGTCAACACATCTGTTTCATTATCATGAAACTGTTCAGAAATTAACTTGTTTTAAAGGTGGCTAAGAAAATAAATAATAAAAAAAACATAAAACCACTTTCTATATTTTTATGTAAAATATACAAGACCACTTCATAACTTGCCACCCTTTACAACATGATACAATACAAAACTATATGATTCATCATAATACAATAAAAATATACTCTATTCTCCCCTTGGGAGCATTTTTGGACTCAGTAGCTGCCTTTACAGAAAAGACAACTATCTCTCGGGAAAAGGAGCATTCACTGATTACAGAGTGATCAATAAATTGGTTTGCACAGCTTGTGGGAAACCACCKGATCCCCACACAATTTCAGACCAAAAATTGAATTCAGATATGTTCAAGTGACCAGCATTAGTTTTACCTGATAGATAGGGTTGGTTTTATAAAACTGTGCATGACTAACAGGTATAGTCATGCCTCATGACATTACTATGAGTAAAATTGGATTTCAGATTCTGTGACAGTATGTGATCCTTCAACCTGATGYCATAAAATTATATTGTATATCATGGCAAGTTATGTGACATGTTATTACAAAGTCACATAAATAATTTAAAGCATTAATTGAATGCTAGGTCTTTAACAGTAAGTCTAAAACTTTAGCATTTAATGCCAGAGTTTTAAATTAATGTTATGATATGAAAAGAGAAAAGTCTGGGTTTGGTACACCTTGAAAATAAAGTTAGGAAAATGTAATGAAATACTGTAAAATTTCATGCTCAGAGTAAATGAGACTGTGTGGTTAGGGGAGTCAGCCTCCAATAAGAAAACTGGCGTTTTGTTCCCACMGTTCAGTCATGTGTCGAAGTGTCCTTGGGCAAGACACTGAACCCCCACTGCCTCAGATGTATCCCATCGGTGGATGAATGTGATTTTAGTACTGGCCAGAATTATTTATGTAGATTAGCTTTGTAGAGAGACTTGTGAAGTTGTGYAAATGTGAGAGTGGATGGGTAAATCCTGGTTGGCTAGAAAGGTGCTATATAAATACATTTATTATGTGTTATTACCCCACCAAGATTTAGCACAGCTATATGGTCACTTGGCCAATTTTGTGTTGCTAATATTGATTGGCTTTAGTGGCCATCTTGAACTGAATTAGCTCAGAAAGTTTATCTATCGTAGATGAATAAAGTGAGTCAAAAGACTCAGGACACCTTTTTATTTCAGGAACAAAAAAGGTAAAGTGAAATATATGAATACCCACTAATAGGTGAGGGGCCCTTTTTTAAAATTATGTCTATGGAATATGTCTGTCATCTGGAAAGCCACCATTTTGGATGAAATTCTTGGATCAAAGTCAGTTTTTTTCCAATGGGAAAGGRGTCTTGTAGCGTTTCAAAGGCGTCCAAAAATGTCTCTGAAATGGATTGCTGCAATCAGATGTGCAATATCACATGTGGTTCAAAGGTTATCAACACAGAAAGTTTTTTTTTGTTGTTCATCACAGGTAAGCTCTGTGTTCAGCACCAGGGACAGCACATAGAACAGGTCAAACAACTGGGCATTACATTCCTTATTGTTCCAATTTTATGTGTTAATAAATTATCCAAAGCAAAGGGTGTCCAGATGCTTTGAATTCACCCAGAACATCCAATACTTCCTGAAAGTTTTGTTGAAATCCCTTCAGTGGTACACAAACTCTTTTGCAAACCAGCAAACAAGATCAACATCAATAGGTAAATTCAAATATGTATGCAATGATTTTGCACAATGAGTTGGAATTATAGTACATGTGATGATTGTTTCTCGGCAACAAACAAACCAAATTTTWGCTCAGTATCTGTAAATCTGACTAAGTTGAAGCCTTCTTTTTTGTTTTTAAAATGAGTTGACTGTAACTCCAAAAGTGAATCAGCCGTAGTTGTACTTCTAATTACTACTTTCTGCAAGTTTTATTAAAACTTGTGCAGTGCTTCATAATAAATTTTGGTATGCACACACACACATATACACACAGAATCAGGCAAAAACACTGTAGTTCATTGTTACCTTCCTGCAGTTGTGATGATAACAAAAACAAAATAATGAGCCAAAATGTTGCACTATTTATATTCTTTTCCAGGAGCTCACATTTAATAATCGTTACACTGTTTTACAAAGAGCCATTTATTTACAAAACGTCAAATCTGCTTTCATGCAGATCCTTCAATCCACATAATTATATTACTTTTGTTTTACAGATGATGTTTTTTCACACCAGATAAGATTCTTGTATTCAGGTGTTGGAAAGTTCAGTGCTGCCAAGGCCAAGGTTTTCTACAAGACTGCCTGGTATATGTCTACAGAATTTTAATGCAGTATTCTGTATACAAATGCATATTTGGTAAACCTTATCCACTTATTTACTCTGACTTTAACACATTACCACATGGAAGCAGATTAATTTATAACGGTACACTAGCTTTCTCTCATTCAGACCACTCAACTACATGCATATTCATACAAACACACACACCGACTTGGCGGGCAGGCACACAAATGGATACAAGAATCTAAAACCGTGCAAATACCTGCATGACCTTGCAATAAGCAGTGCTTCTTTGACAGGCATGAACAGAGTTGGTCAAAGGAAAAAAAAGAGAGAAATTTGCGTGCAACTATGAAGTGACCATGAAATCTAGGCAGAATGAGAAATGTAGTTGGAGGATGAGTGAGATGATGGAAAAATCCATTTCCAAAATTACAGGGGTGACGTTTAGAACAGTAAWAGGCCCGTTTCATGCAAATACCAGCTTCAGGGGAAAAGTCTCAATGTAAATTCACTGTAAATGCAAATTAAACCCAGTTAATAGGAAGTTAATGACATCAGAGGATTAGTGAGCATCAAACAAGATGGTTTCCTTTTCAACTCAATCAACCTCTAAAAGAGGAGAATCCAAGTATCAAAGGAAACCAAGTAAAAGACTTGACTTTGAAGACAGAAGCTGCTATTTAAAGGATTTTTGAATCACACATTTGTTTTTACTAAAACATGAAAAATAAGCCTTTAATATATTAAATGCTTGAGCAAATATGTGCATTGGAATTTTCCGAAGATAGATTTTAGAGGTACGCACAAAAAACAACAAAAAACAAACCCCAAAACAGAGCAGAAAAAAAAAACAATACTGTCAAAGTAACACTCCTCGTGGGGAATGCCAGCATCTTTCAGAAACAGG